AAGAGCCAGCACTTTTAAGAATATTGGAGAGGAGGAGGTTTTAGAGTTGGGGCAGTAAGCTACAAGAACAGGGTAGGTGATTTTGAGGAGGAAATGACAACATGAATTTTAAAAGGAAGGATTCATCATTTGTGGGGAGTAGCTAGCTAGCAGTGAGCCAGAAAAGAAAGTCTGGTGGTCAGTAAGACTTTCTATTTCTACTGGGGATCACTGGCTACCTTCCACATGACATCCTGAGAAATGGTGCTGATGGTGTGGAAAAGTAAACAATCTCCAGAAGATCCCCAGCCAAAGATTTGACTTTGAATCCACTAATTTTCGTTGAAAATCTAGAACAAGAGGACATATCCTTACAATCAGAGACAAGTCAGTTAAAAATAAATCAGTCAAACTTCAACAGAAGGTTCTCAAGTGAACTGTCTCAGAAGCTGACAGATGCAGAATTGATCTACGTTGTTAAACTCTCTTCATTATTTTAAGCAGCTAAATCAGATTGTTCCTTTATTTCTTGGGACAGAATCCAAACTACACTGTCTCATATCATAGCTCAGAGTTTCCACATCCAAGACATGATTCTTGGGAGTTCCCACTGACCTCCAAATCAAATAGATCCGTGGGATGCCCAAAACCGAACACAATGCACCAAACACCAGTCTGAATTCTGGGATTATTTACAATGTACATAGATGGTTTAGATTTGGGGACCAAGTATGGTGTGTCAAAGTTCGCAGATGACACTAAAATGAGTAGTAGAGCACAGTGTGCAGAAGACACTGGAAGTCCACAGAGGGATATAGAGAAGTTAAATGTGTGGGTAAGGCAAATAGAGTACAATGTTGATATATGTGCAGTCATCTATTTTGGTAGGAATATTAGCAAAATAGACTATTAATTAAATGGTGAAAAATTGCAGCATGCTGCTGCGCAGAGGGACCTGGATTTCCTTGTGCATGAATCCCAAAATGTCGGTTTGCAGGTAATTAAGAAGGCAAATGGAATTTTGTCCTTCATTGCTAGAGGGATTGAGTTTAAAAGCAGAGAGATTATGTTGCAGCTGTATAGGGTGCTGGTGAGGCCACAACTGGAGTACTGCATGCAGTTTTGGTCTCCTTACTTGAGATAGGATGTACTGGCACTGGAGGGGATGCAGAGGAGATTCACTAGGTTGATTCTGGTATTAAGAGGGTTGCCTTATGAGGAGAGATTGAGTAGACTGGGACTATACTCATTGGAATTTCGAAGAAATTCAGAAGGGTGGCATAATGGCTCTGTCATTAGCACTGCTGCCTCACATCACCAGGGACCCGGGTTCGATACCAGCCTTGGGTAACTGTGTGGAGTTTGCCCATTCTCCCCAGGTCTGCGTGGGTTTCCTTTAGGTGCTCTGGTTTCCTGTCACAGTCCAAAGATGTGCAAGTTAGGTGTATTGGCCTAAATTGTCTGTAGTGTCCAGGGACGTGCAGGTTTAGTGGGTTAGCTGTGGGAATTGCAGGGGTAGGGGGATGGGTCTGGGTCGGATGCTCTTCAGAGGCTGGATCAGTGTGGACTTGTTGGGCCGAATGGCCTGTTTCCACACTGTAGGGGTTCTATGGTTCTAAGATTGAGGGGGGATCTTATAGAAACATATAAAATTATGAAGGGAATAGATGAGATAGAAGCAGAGAGAGTGTTTGCACTGGCAGGTGAAATTAGAACTAGGGGGCATAGCCTCAAAATAAGGGGGAGCAGCTTCAGGACTGAGTTGAGAAGGAACGTCTTCATCCAAAGGGTTGTGAATCTGTGGAATTCCCCGTCCAGTGAAGCAGTTGAGGCTTCCTCATTGAATGTTTTAAAGTCAAAGATAGATAGATTTTTGAACAGTAAAGGAATTAAGGGTTATGGTGGGTGGGTAGATAAGTGGAGCTGAGTCCATAAAAAGACCAGCCATAATCTTATTGAATGGCGGAGCAGGTTCAAGGGGCCAGATGGCCTGTTGCTCTATTTCTCATGTTGTTATGGTAGGACTGATGTATGGAGAGAGACCAGGTCAATTAAGACCATATTCACTGGCGTTCAGAAGAATGAAGGGCTCATAAAAACCTATAAAAGTCTAATGGGGCTAGACAAGAAGCATTTTCCCAATGACTGGGGAATCCAGAACCAAGGGGTCACTGTCTAAGGATAAAGGGTAGGCCGTTTAGGAGTAAGATGAGGAGAAATGTCTTCAACCAATGTACGGTGAGTCTGTGAAATTCTGTAACACAGAAAGCCATTAAATGCTTTCAAAAAGGCGTTAGATATAGTCAGAAGTTACATGACACCAGATTATAGTCGAACAGGTTTATTTGAAATCACAAGCTTTCGGAGTGTTGCTCCTTCGTCAGGTCACCTGATGAAGCAGCAATGCTCCGGAAAGCTGGTGTTTTCAAACAAACCAGTTGGACTATAACCTGGAGTCAAGTGATTTCTGACTTTGTCCACCGCAGTCCAACTCCGGCACCTCCACATCAGAGTTAGACATAGTTCTTAGGACTAAAGGGTTCAAAGCACATGGGGAGTAAATAGCAACAAGATATTGAGATGAATGATCAGCCATGAAAGGACTGAATGGTCTGCTCGTGTTCCTATTTTTCTGTTGCTATGTTTCTAAATCTTTTCTGATCAAGACTCCATATGATTGCACAGCATATTATTGCTTTTAATTCATGAAGTCTTGTATCTCTTTCACTTTTTTTAGTCACTTTGAGCCTGCACTCTAGTTTCTAATGATTTTTTATAAGAGTCCCTAAATCACACCCTCAACATTTGCCTGCTTATATCGTATTTCCATCTACAATTCATATACTGTCAAATTTTACGGTGAATATAAGCTTGGCAGATTGGAATATGTAGAAATACATCTGTTTTCATACTACCCACGCAGTTTTGTCCTTATGTTTTACTATTGTCATATCTAAATCTGTCCTTTCTTGATGCACACAAAAAAATTCTATTGAGCATGATACCATCTGCAAGTGGATTTTGCTTTATTCTGTCTTGGCACTCATTACTCTCCTGCCTTCTTTTGTTACTTTCTATAATTTTCAATCTTAGTATTCTTGCCTTTATTTTTTGACTGTGTATAAGCTTTCCTATTTAGTCTCTCATTGATTCTGATCACTCACTAAAACATGCTTGTTGATCTAGAGATTAGAAACCATTCATTTGCTAACCACAAATAAACTCCCTGCACTAGTCTGCTGTTGATCTGCCAAGTTAACTACTCCTCTTTGATTCCTGCTTGTAATCCTCAGAGTGGAGGATTGGAGACCTTGTGGGACTACAGGGAATCCTTAAGCAGACCCATTGGATCCAGGCGGTAAGTGTAAAGACCATCACCTCCTGGATCTGTCAAGTGCTCAACTGGATGCGGATAACAAGGTGTAGAGCTGGATGAACACAGCAGACCAAGCAGCACCAGAGGAGCAGGAAAGCTGACGTTTCGGGCCTAGACCCTTCTTCAGAAAACTTCAGGATGCGGATGCCAGGTTTCCTGAGGCTGTGTCCAGAGTTAGAGTAGAGTAACAGTGAGAAGTGTGGTATCACTGTCATACTGAAATACCACCTCACCTTCTCACAGCCGATTGGTCATCTACTCATCACTCCACTTCAGTTAAAGCCAGAAGTTGGCACGTTTGATGTAGGTTTGGTCTGGGAATCTGATTTTTAAGACTTTAACCCCCTACTCAATCCAAAGTCATTCACCAGCTTAGTTAAAATTCCCTCCAGTCTTGACTTCAGAATATTATAGAGGTTCTGCATAATAACCGGAGGCCAATGCAAAAAGACTCCTGCATGAAGAGATGTGTTATCTTTTGGATAAAACATTAACCTGAGGCCCCACCTACTCTTTTGGGTGGATGTAAAATATCTCATGGGACTGTTCAACGTGAAAAGGAGAGTTCTCCTGGCCAACATAGATCCCTCAATCTAAAACAGCTTATCTAGTCACCTATTTCATTGCTTGCTGTGCAGTGTATTTCCCCGCATCAAAACAATGACTACACTGTCCAAGTACCACTCTGACTGTAAAACACTACATTTTTTGGGGGCGGGGTGGGGGGGTGCTGTGGTGCGGTGGGGTTGGTCACCCTGAAGTCACAAAAAACAATATAGAAATGAAAATTCAATCTATCTTTCACCCTGTAAGACTCTGACTTCTGATGTCTTCTTAAAATGGAAGACGATGAAGATATCAATAATGAGCAAAGCATTGAATGTCCAGGACTAAAATCGGGAATTATGAAGGGGATCTTTGAATATGAACTGACTGATCAGACTGACATAGGACTTAGGAGCAGGAGGAGGCCATTTGGCCCTTAGAGCCCGCTCTACTACTCATCAGGAACATAATTTGGTCTCAGTCCCACTTTCTTGCTTGCCGCTTGGAACACCTGACCTCCTCGTCTATCAAAAATCTCTCCCACTCAGCCTTGAATAAAATCAATGACCTAGCCTCCAATGTTTTCAAGGGTAGGGAATTCCACAGCCTTACAAGTCTTAGTGAGAAAAAAAAATCTCTTTGCATCTGTCTGAAAAGTGAAACCCCTTATTTTCTTCAATGGTATCCCCTAGTTCTAGTCTCTTCAGCAAAGGGAAATACTTTCTCAGAATCCACCTTGTCAGGTCCCCTCAGGATCTTAGATGTTTCAGTAAGATGACCTCACATTCTGCTAAACTTCAATGGGTACATGTCCAACATGACTGAATCCTACATAATACATAGGAATCCTAACTATTAATTAGCCCAAATTAATTTAGCTTGTATTTAGTGAATCTTTTTATTGACGTTGAACAGTAATAGATTGGGATTTAAATGAAATGGACTGTTTTCTAGATCAAAGTTATTGACTCCTTGGCTCTCTGTTCTTTTGTATGTATTCTACCATGTAATTTGGTGATTAGAAATTCCATGCGGTGTAAATACTTTCCATTAAAGCTCTATGGATGAGAAGTATTCAGACTAATATACTGTATCTTACCAATGGCGGCTCTAAAGAAAATGGCGAATCCATCTTGATTTGGAGTGACTCAGATGGACTCCCAGGGCTGTCACTTGCATCTCCACCTTCACCACCTCCCCACGTCACACCGTCCACATTCCCCTGGCCCGTATTCAACATTTTTAATTCGAGTTCCAGCTCTGCCTCAAGTTCTGCTTCCTCCTTCGCCTCTTTGTTGCTCTCTTCCAGGTGTTTCATCAGCACCGCGATGACTACATTCACCAGCACAAACTGAGCTGTCAGCACAAACGAGACAAAGTAGATTGGGGACACCACTGTGTTATAACAGGTGCCCTCTTGGTTACAGTCTCGCAAAGTATCCTGCCAATGAGGGAGAAAAGCAGTTAAAAAAAAAGCAACAGAAAACTCAGAGTCTGTTATGTGGATGGCAGTAGTGAGAAAACATGATTGCAAGTTCAAGAAGGTGGAACAAATAGCTTTCTCAAATATGGAACTAAATTTAATGTACTTCAAACTTGTCAGTAAACTGTCCCCTGGTGAAATGGGCATTTGGCTCAATTGAAACAATTATTTTAATTTGATGCAGAAATCTAAATAACAACTATTAGTGTTCCAGTATAGAAAGAACGTTAAAATTGTCGAGCTGAGATTCACTAGGATGACTTTAGATGGGAAGTAAAATTATGAAGAAATACTGGAATCATTTTCACTTGGGAAGAGAAATTCAAATGAGATTTAATAATAGTTATTCATGGGATTTGAATGAGGAAGTCTTCTGATGACTTTGGCTGAAATCAGTAATTTAAACTATTGAATTGGTGGGGGTGATGAGAGATGGGGTCAATGTCTTTACTCAAGATTGTTCTGAGTAGAAGGGAATAGTTGAGGTCAAGAGAGCTTCGGAAGGTGGGGGGAGGGGCATGATATTTGAAATTGAGGGAGGTACAGGAATCTGGGGAGAGATGAACCTGATGTGTTTTAGGTTACTTCAGTCTCTGGTCTTGTTAAATTTCACTGGGGAGAAATGGATTGTAGGCAGGAAATGTAAAATGTGCTGTACAACACCAGCTGCTGATTATAAGCTTCACTGGAACTGAATACTCACTGGACTGAGGCTGTACTTTGTATTTAGCACTCCTACCCAGGGCACCCTTCTACCCTGATGCTTTTACTTTGTAATATCTTCATGCAAATTGCAAGTTTGGTTGATTGGTATGGTTGACTGCAGTCGTACTCCATTTTGACAAATTAGAGACAATTAAAACAGCAGAGTCTAAAGCCGTTGTTGGAAGCAGATGGTGTCTAATATGTCAGAAACAGGAGAGAAATCATTTGAAGAGAGTTGCTTCAAGTTATTAGCCAGAAGTTAGAAAATGACCAATGAAAAGGCAGAAAGAAAGGATACTACAGATTACTTGGTTTGTTAACAGCTGTTCACCTTCAACATCTTCCTGTTCTAGTGAAAGGTCATCTAACTGACTGTTTCTCACTCCAAAGACGATGTTAAACCTGCTGAGTGTTTTACAGCATTTTCACCAAAGCAGAGAAACTGGATATTTGTCTCTTTGATGTTTATACAATCTTTACATGTGTGAATTAGCAGCTGGATTGGCTTATAAAACAACAGGGACTTCACTCCAAAAATAATTCATTGTTGCAAATTAGTGGGAAACATTCTTGAGGACTTGGAAAATGCCATATGGATATTGGTTGTGTTTCCTTCCTCATAGATGAAAGGACAGTAGGAAGAATTCCAGCAAATGATATTAAATCTCACTTTCAGCAGGGAATGGCATCAGATCACATTTGCTGAATTAGATACTAGTGATTTTCTGTGAAAGCTTCTGTAGTCGGGAACAAAGGATGTCAAAGCCGTGTTCTGAAATGTATCAGACAACATAATTTCCACTTCACACACCAGGATGGGCTACATTTCCTTAGCAGTGCTTCCCAAATTTTTTCCTCACGTAACCCCATTTTAATGCCCGAGACTTCATGCGACTCCAGATGAAGATGTAGGTGTTTGTGAGAGTTTGTTGAGTGGTGGGGAAAGGATTTTCTTGAGTGGTTGATGGGGAGAGGGGGAGTGATACTGAATCTGCCAGAATGTGTTTAAATTGCATTTTGTTTTTAGAACATTACTAATTTTCAAAATTCTTTTTGTAGTAGTAGCAACCAGGCTTCGATAAGCTTCTCTGTTAATCCATGCCCATCACTTAAACAGGCCTCGCGTTTGTTAGCACTCAGTCCCAGCACTGCACCCCAACCCAGCCGCTGAAGCTTACAATCACAAAATCTTGTCTCACAGTTCCAAAGGAGGTTAGTTTGGGAAGCCCCACCTTTGGATTTTGGGAATTTTGCTAAAGGAGGAAAAAGCTCACCTTCATGATCCCATTCCAGTTATCTCCAGTTGACACTCGGAATAAAGTGAGGAAAGCCATTCCAAAGTTTCTGAATGTGGCATGTCGCCCTAACCCCTCACAGGGATGATAGTCATCACATTCTACAAAGAAGATATTTAAAAAAAAACTGTTGACTGAAATAAAATATCTTCTGAGGATTCAGGGCGAATATTCTGTTATGTTGCAATAATAAATTAGCAGTGTGGAGACCATTCTTCAGAATTAGACATTTAAATTGACCAACAGATCAAAGGAACAAGAGTAGGCAATTCAGTTTCTTTAGTCTGTTCCACCATTCAATTATATCATGATTGATCTGTATCTTAACTCTATTTACCCACACTTAATACCTTTGCTTAACAAAAATTTCCCAATCTTAGTTTTCAATGTTATCACCAAATATTGGAGAATTATGATGATGCCACTCAGCCTTCATGACTGCATTGGCTCTCTGAATGAGTAATTTACCTAATACCATTCCCCTGTCTTCTTCCTGTAATCCTACACATTCTTCCTGTTCCTAGAAACATTCTAACTCCATAGTAAATTTATCTATTGAACCAAGGAAAAATTGGATTTTCAATTTTTAAAAGAAATTCTCTTGCCTCTCAGCTACAACAGCTTTTTGGGGGAGGGAGTTGCAGACTTTGACTACTGTTTGTGTGAGGAAGTCATTATGATACCATCACAGAATGACCTAATCTACTTTGATGGTTGTGTTTCCCTCTACCCTTTGATCTGAAATCCCCTCTCTCTGCTTACCCTATCAACTCTTTTAATCATCTTAAAACCACATGAAATCACCCTTCATCTTTTAGACTCACTTAATCTGTGCAAGATACAGTGGCCTAGGTTTTGCAGTCATCAGCGAAGCAAGGGTGTTCACCTCTGACCTTGAAGAAAGCCACTCACAAAGCTCTGGTGATCTTGTTGGTGCAGTTTCCAGACAGCAGTTTAAATCTGGGGCCAAATTAAGAAGCTGTCAAGGCACCTAGCAACAGTGACATTGGCAAGATGGTAAGGGATGAATAACATTGAGGTATTCACATACAGCTAACTAGGAAGTTAAAAGCATTTAACATCCTTCACTTTTAAATCAGTTTCTCACATGTAAATGATAATGATTCGAATGATAAAGAAGTTAAATTGTAGGTAAACAAACTTTTAGAAAAGTTAACAATGCTTCTACAAATGTAAAGCAAGCCTTTTGGGGTATTTTCAGTATTCAGCAGTATTTGTGATGTTAGTACACTATTAAAACACAGTTGCACTTCATTTAAAAAGGGGTAACTTTTTTTTTAGGGAGTTTTATAAGAAGACTGACACTGTAGGAGTGGCAATTTGATTCCCATTGAGTGTTGCCTGATCACTGGAGGCTGGGAGAAGGAGCTGGCTCCACACTGCACCTTCTAGAGATGGGTAGAATCATCACCAGGGACGTAATGATGGCAAATGTAGTCAGTTTTGTGGTCATTTATAGTGCAAGATCTGAGCAGATATATTAAGGAGGAGGTGTAATGAGTAAGTCGCTCCCTCTGAGCCAGAAACACAAGGAATTGACAGCTAAGGAAGGTGCCATTCATCTGTCCAACACAGTCAATGGCAGATAGTAAAATGGGACAGACTGCTGGTCAGCCATGAGATGGAAAGAAATTGGAGTTTCTATTGTCACTGTCCATACCTCCAGGAAGCAGGAGTTTGATCCCCGTTCCAGTGGCAGTAGATTTGGGACCTGCCTCCTATCCCTACCCATGGGAGAGGTCATGTTATGGGTTACACCTGCATTGGGCAGAGAACCGATCAAGAAGATAAGAAGACCAAAGCTTTAGCTGTGGACCATGTTGTGTTTTTGAAACTGAATTTTGAACCTCTGCTCCCAACTGGCCAGATTAATGTGACCAACACAATGTATCTTTGGTGGTAAGCTCTCTCCAGACCCACAGCAATGTGGTTGACTCTTAACTGCCCTCCGGACAATTAGGAATGGGCAATAAATGCTGCCTAGCCAGCGATGCCCTCATCCTGTGAATGAATAAAGAAAGAAATAAAGAGTTGGAGCTTCCTTACCATAACTATGTTCAGATTATTGGCAAAATACAGCAGATAGGAACAACCAAACCATGATTACAACTCTATGGAGGACAGGGACAAACTGTCTAACAGTTAGGACAGCCCAGTCCATGCTGCAGAGCTCCACTCCAACACCATCCCAAACCACTTTCCATTGTTGTTAGCAGCCAGAAGCCATTTTTAAAACTACCTTGTTCTCGTAACAATAAGACAGCAGATTCCCTAAATTCTGATTGCAATTAATCCATGTAAGAGGTTTCATTGATGAGTTACCAACCCTCTGGTAACTTTTATTATTTAAGAAAATAAGATTTTGGGCTACATTATGTGCATACACTGACATATGAAATGTTGTAAATGTAGCACTTTTGAGAAGAACAAGTGATTTTGGACATCAGGTTCCCAAAGCTCTCCCACCACTCAGTGTTTACTCCCCTCATGTTTGGGTCTGTTGCAGACTAATACATAGACATTGAGAGATTGATTTGCTATGATTGTCATCCACTGTGCTCTTATCAAATCCCCAGTTACAGGAGCTATATTAAAATGAGGAAAGCAGGTCAACAAATGAGCATCATGCAATACAAAGGAATATTCAACTCAAAATAAATGTACTTGTCCCTGCTGTATCTCACCTAGGTCCCCAAAAAGTTCAACTCCAAGAGCTGCAAATATGAAAAACAGCAGCATGAACAACAGTCCGAGATTTCCGACCTGAAAGAGACAGAAAGATCATGAAGGGATTCTTCCATTGGTGAACATGCATGGAACTAACACATGGGATGTCTTCAAATGATCATGTCATCTTTTACTTCTGATCTACAACATTAGATGAACGAAATGGTCACACATTGTATTTTTGTTTAATTGATGCTGGAAGCTTCTGCTCTGAAAATCCTTCAAATAGCATCTCGGAGAAGCTTCCAGAATCAATTATGGAAAGTAAACTTTCATTTTGGAGGGTTCAATTTGAGACTATAGACTAGAAGTTTCTGACTGGAATATCTGCTGTAATATATGTAAAATGTTTACATGACATTACTTCTTAATTTCAAAGGAAGCATTAATTTGATTTAAAAATTGTCATATGAATTGTTAACTAACTAGAAGCTGACATCACAAAAGGTTACTTCTAAAGATAAATTTATTTATTTCAACCTATAATAAATATTTGACCCAGCTGCTGAACAAAGAGAAGATCAATAAACACGTGAATCAAGTAATATTGAAGTAACACAACTCAGTCACTTTATAGTTTCATCAAGTTTGACATTATGGACTGAGAGACAGATGGTATGTTTTTGAGATGGGATGTTAGGACAAGCCCACCTTCTTGTGGGGTGTGGGGAGATGCGAAAGATGCTAATGGTACCCTTTGAATAAGAGTCGGGGAGTTTGTGCTGACCTATATTCATCACTCCAATCATGAAATCATAGAATCCCTACTGCAGGGAAGAGGGCTTTTGGTCCATTGAGTCTGCATTGACCCTCTGAAGAACATTCCACCCAGACCAACACTCCTACATTTTACCTGTAACCCTGCATTTCCCATGGCTAATCCACTCTGCCTGCACACCCTTGGACAATATGGGGCAATTTAGCACGGCCAATCTACCTAACGTTTTCATCTTTGGACTGTGGGAGGAAACCGGAGCACCCAGAGGGACCGCTGCAGACACGGGGAGAATGCGCAAATTCCACACACACAGTCACACACGCCTGGAATCGAATGCAGATCCCTGGCACTGTGAGGTAGCAGTGCTAACCATTGCACCATCTTGAGCAGTCACTCCAAGCCCTTTTTGTCATTTGGTGTAGATGGGACCAGAGAGGATAGAGCACCTCCTTGTTAATCTGCTCCTGAGTCTCATCAAGGTGGTTCCTAACAGGTACACGTAGCAAGCAGGATGATGACGGACTCATTTATCTGTGGAGGGGACACACACACAATGTCAGCTGGTACACGTGAGGCCTTCCTTAAGTGGTGACAATCAACATGACCAAAACAGATTACCTGACGATACCAGCATTTGTGGAAGCTTGAAGTACTCAACTGGCACTTCAAAAAGTCATTCAGGATTTGTGAAGCACTGTAGGATAGCTGGAAGTTGTGAAATGAACTATATTATTGCAAGCTCTTTCTTTCTTAAATTGAAGAGATGCAATGTACAGAACGCTATTGAATTGGAAAGCATTGAAGATAAGTTAGGTCAAAGAGAATTGCCTAGGTGAAATTAGTCCTGATTTTTAAAAGCCTGTATATTGTAGTCCGCGTATGAATTTAATGTGGTCACCAGGAGTCTTGCCTGCCAGCTGGAAAAGTAGGGAGAATCCCACATGCCTCTTTTGGAGAAGGTCTGTTTTGACTTTCTTGGTGTTATTAAATGTAACACAACTGAGCTAACTGGGGGATCTCTGGTGTGTTCATTTGCAGCTAAGGAATGCATATAGAACAAGGTAATGTCCAAGCACAGCAGTAACTATAGTGCTGTATGACAGAGAGCCTGCAGTCACGTGATCACATCCAGGTGTCCGGCTCATTTGTACTGTGAGCCCTTAAAGGGACATCACTTCAAAGGTGTTAATACAACAAGGCCCACTACATAAGTACCAATCTGGCACTCATTGGGGCAGCTGTGGGCATTCTTCAGGATCCAGGAGTCTGGGGTGGTGGTGGGGGAGGAGTGTCTTACCTGCCAAGAGTTGACAGCCAATCAGAAACCAGCACTTGCCAGTGCCACCGCAGAGATGGTAACGGCTGCTGGTAATGGAGCCACCTCAGGTCCAGGATGGCTGGGGGACACAGGCTACCGGACAGTGATAGTGGAAAAGGGATTGTGGGGGTGAGGGTCGTAGGAGTAGGTGGAGAGGGATTGGCGCTGAGGGCAGGTGTCACCCTCAGTAGACCCCTCCCTTCTTGATGCCAAGTCCCTTGCTCAGGCACTGTGTGCTCTGACCTCCCCCTCCCTGAAGCTGGGTAACAACCCCAATAATGTTTGCTATTTGGGTTTTCTTTATGATCAAACTCCCACCTATTACTGGCTGAAAACCATGTGGGGTGGAATGAGATCCCTGAGTGGCATTAATTGCCTGCTCAAGGGATCCAGCTGGTTGTTGGGGGGAGGAAGGCCCAGACTAATCGGGACAGAAGCAGGATGTAGACAGGGTCCTCGCATGTGACCCTTCTGTCTGAAGTGTAAATGTTGATGTCTGAGTGACAGCCGACCATTTCCAAGAACAAATCACTCATTCCAGTTACAGGTAGAACAGGACATGCAGAAGTAAATGTTAAAGCTATGAAACTGCTTCTGATTTCTCAGTTTCATTCAATGCTTTATGAATCAGGTTATCTTATCGACGTCATTCTCACTTAACGTGTGCTCCATTCATTGGCTGAAAGTCAAAACGTAAATCTCATACCTTTTAATGCCTTTTTTTAACTTGGAGAACATCTGAATAAAATATCTAATTGAGGGACAATTACATGATTCTACTGAATGTGCTGCAAATTTTCCGTCTGCCCCCAAACCGCCTACAATTTATCTGACAGTCACCTCATTGTCACCGCTGGCCTCTGCATTCAACAGTATATACCATCTCGATGGTAAAGTCTTTTAGCCCAGTCACCTCTGTGCCAACATTAAGAGATGAGACACACGAGATGTATTTGGATGACTGGTACTGTCGTTGGCTGCTCTGCTCTAGATTTTCAAGGCGAGGTCAATGTCTTCAATGTCTGCATATGGAAGACTTGGTTTGTCATTGAATGTCACAGAGTTATAGAGCTGTACAGCATGGAAATTGACCATTCGGTCCAACTCTTCCATGCCGACCAGATTTCCTGAATTAATTTAGTCCCATTTGCCAGCATTTGGCTCATATCCCTCTAAACCCTTCCTATTCATGTACCCATCCAGATGCCTTTTAAATGTAATTCTACCAGCTTCCACCACTTCCTCTGGCAGCTTGTTTCATACATGCACCTCCCTCTGCATGAAAAAGTAATCCCTTAGTTCCCTTTTAAATCTTTCCCCTCTCACATTAAACCTATGCTCTCCAATTTTGGGCATGAACACATCGACTATTTACCCTACCCGTGCCCCTCATGATTTTATAAACCTGTATAAGGTCACCCCTCAGCCTCCGATGCTCCAGGGAAAATAGCCCCAGCCTATTTAGCCTCTCCCTATAGCTCAAACTCTCCAACCCCAGCAACATCCTTAGAAATCTTTTCTGCACCCTTTCAAGTTTCACAACATCTTTCCTATAGCAGGGAGACCAGAACTGAACGCAATATTCCAAAAGTGGCCTAACCAATGTCCTGTGCAGCTGCAACATGATCTCCCAACTCCTCTAGTAAATGTACTGAGCAAGAAAGGCAAGCATAGCAAATGCTTTCTTCACTATCCTGTCTAACTACGACTCCATTTTCAAAGATATATGAATTGCACCCCAATGTCCCTTTGTTCAGCAACACTCCCCAGGACCCTATCATTAAGGCTTTAGGTCCTGTCCCAATCATAACTCATATCAACCTGGATCTAGTCAGTAAAATACACCATATAATGTAAATGCTGATAGAGGGACTCTGGAAAATGTTGAGTATTTTCCATACCTTGGGTGGCCTTCTCCCAGAAAAGGCCACTGTAAGACCACCAGAGAAATTCCACCAGCAAAGATGCTGCCACACTGAGGAAGGGTCACCGGACCCGAAATGTTAACACAGATTTCTCTTCACAGATGCTGCTAGACCTGTTGAGCTTTTCTAGCAACTTCTGTTTTAATTTCTGCCACACTTGTTGGATTTAATGGGAGAATTGTTCAACAAATGATTGTGTCCTTCTTGAAGCCAGTTTTATAAGCAATCAGGCAAACTCTTGCAAAATCAATTATGTTGGACTGCACTTCGAGGCAGGTTGGCTGAAAAACATCTCTCTTGCAAGGATCTTTTTCTGTCAGCTCTCAGATGGTTCTGTGGGGGTGGGGTGGGGGGGAGCGGAGAAAGGAAATGCTACAGAATACTCTGAAACCCCCCTTAAAGCAGAACAGCATTGATATTAATGACTGGTGGGAGCTCATGACCAACCATTCAAAATTGTTGTAAATTGTTCATCAAGCATCACACTCCCAGTATTAAATGCTGAATTCAAACAGGGCAACAGCACAAGAGGAAAGAAAAGGATGGAAGCCTTGTCTCTGGAAAAGGAACAAAAGCCCACTGCCTCCTGGAACATTCTGCCCCATGTGCCCAAATGCATGTGGATCACAAATCAGTCTCTTCAGCCACATGAAGACCCTCAGCAGAAACCCCCAACTCTGATACTGAAAATTGAATCAGGGCGGGGGAGAGACAATTAAAATCCTCACTTCATCCAGTTTGAGAGCCGGGGTTGAATGAGTGTTGAGTGCTGGTAAGTATCAGTAATGAACAAATGTTCAGTGCCAGTGTGTATTAGTAATGATTAAGTGTTCAGTGCCAGTGTGTGCCAGTATTGAGTCTCAGTATTGAATGG